AATCTATAATCCACAACGGCCATAGTGCACATGGTTTTAGATCCCAATTTACCATGGTCACAATCCGTGGTTATATCACATTTGACAACGGGCATAGCTCGTGGTAGAAACTGAGACTTTTTATTACATCCAGATTACTAACGGACGCAGTGTCCATGGTGGATTGCAATCTATCACGGGCATTTATCGTGGTAAATGAGCTTTTTTTTACTAGTGAAATAGTGATATTACTAATATTCGGTTTCAGAAATAGTAACAATACCCGTTTTTAGTTTAAGAAATAGTTAGTGTTAAGTTTAAAAAAATAGTGATAGTAGCAGTGTTCAGTTTAAGAAATAGTGATAATAGATATAGTCAGTGTTTGGTTTAAAAATTAGTGATGGTATCAGTGCTCAGTTTAAAAAATATTGATAGTACCGTTATTCAATTTGAGAAATAGTTAATGTGCAGTTTAATAGTCAGTTTTCAGTTTTAGAAATAATCAGTGTTTAAATTAAAAAATAGTGACAGTACCCATGTTCAGTTCTAAAATAGTTAGTATTCAGTTTAAGAACTAGTCAATATTCAATTTAAGAAACAGAGATAATATTAGTGTTAAGTTTAAATAATAGTGATAATACCCATATTCAGTTTAAGAAATAGTAATAATACCCGTGTTTAGTTTTCGAAATAATGAATGTTCAGTTTACAGAATAGTAAATGTTCAATTTAAGAAATAGTGATAGTATCAGTGCTTAGTTTAAAAAATAATGATAGCACCCTTGTTTAATTCGAGAAATGATTAGTGTTCAGTTTAATAAATAGCCAGTTTTTAGTTCTAGAAATAGTCAGTGTTTAGTTTAAGAAATAGTGACAATACCCAGATTCAGTTCTAAAAATAGTCCGTGTTCAGTTTAAGAAATAGTAATAATATCACTGTTCAGAAGAAATAGTGATAATACATGTGATCAGTTTACGAAATAGTGAGTGCTCAGTTTAAGAAATAATGATAATAGTTGTATTCAGTTTACAAAATAGTGAGTGCTCAGTTTAACACATAATGATACTATAAATGTTCAGTTTAAGAAATAGTGATAAAATCCATGTTTAGTTCTAGAACTAGAATAGTCAATGTTCAGTTTAAGAAATAATGATTGTAACAACCCATCCCGATTTTTATTTACGGATTTTGGAACAAGAGCATTTTGGAAATTTTACAGGTGAAAAATATTTTGGGTTGTTACTTTTGGGCCTTAAATGGTGAGCTGGGTGGCGCCCAGCTTTCTTTTTGGTCCTTGACCCTCCTTTCTTCTTTGCCGACCATGTGGCACCCCCACCTCATCTTTCCCTTTTCTCTCCTTCTTCCGAGCTCCCTCACTCTCTCTCGAACCTCTCTCCCTTTTGCAAACCTCTCTCTCTCACTCTTCTCTCCTTCCTCAAGGACCAACGCACACACCCACCCACTCATCACAACGGCACCACCACCACCACCGTGATGGGCCTCTCTCTCTCCCTCTCATCTGTGAAGCACAAAGAACCCAATGATTTCCTCCGGCAATGGACCGTAGCTCCACTTGGATTTCCCGACCACGGCTGGGCTTAAAAAATGGTATGTTTCGCTTCTTTCTCACTTGTAGCTTCATTTCATTGGTTTAATCACCGAGTATGGTTGAGAAGCCGAGTTGAACGGATCTCGGGAACCTCGGGCCTCATTTTCCGTCAAAACCAGGTCAACCAACCCAAACCTGGATACCCAGGTCATCTAGCCCAAAGCTTTGGGATGGGCTACCAAGCCCAAAACCCTTTTTGAACCCATTAAACCTGAGACCCAAACTAGGCCTTTGGGCTATAAAACCTTTGGCCTAGACTCTCGGCCCAGGCCTAGTTGCTCAGGCCCAACCTTACAGCCCAGATCCTTTGAACCCAGGCCTTTGGGCCATGCAACTCGAGCCTTCGGCCCAATAAACCCCAAGCCTAAACCCTAGGGAGCCCAAGCCCAAGATCCGGCCCAGACCCAATCAGACCCAGAACCCAGGGCGCCCGTGAAGGGTCGCCTATGCTGGCGTGTAGAGCACATGCTCCTCTGCCGGAGGTATTGTGCTCCGCCAGCATCTACAGCAGCACCGGCAACTTTTTCGGCCAACTTTCAGCAACTTAAAATGGAGCGTACGGTGACGCGTAGCCGTCGGGGCCGCCACCCCGTGGCGTGCGTGAAGGCACGTGAGGGTACCCAAGGTTCCCCTTTATGCTTTTCAACATCCCGAATCTGTTTATGACGTCTGTTTTCAGAAATTCAATCGTTATGGTAGAGTTTTATTAATTGGACCCTTTATGTGCTTAGGTGTATTTATTGTGGCATTTCTGTCTTCGCTAGTTTGCGTGGCTCTTCGACGGCGATGTATCTGTGAGTGGACCCCTTCCAAAATGCATAATTTTTGCTATTAGAAATGCATACATGAAAATCATGATTTAATGGTTACGTTTTATAAAATGTTTCATGAGTAAATTAGATTTTACTTTTTATGGGATATCATGTTTTAGTAAGAATATTTTGGAATATCATGCTTTATCAAATTTACGTTCTTTGTAGTATATATGATGGATGACTATATACTATGAAGATGTTTTGAGATATGATATTTGAACTACTGAGCTTCGTTAAGATATATATAATTATGTTGGAAAGATTATATGCAATGTTTTTACGCTTATCTAGTGGTCATTGTCCTGCCTACGGGTGTATGTTCTGCCTACAGGCGCATGATGGAGAGCCTTCGGGCAATTATGATACCACTAGTTACCACACTATATATGATATATATTTTATGAAAGGTTTATGGCATGCTAGGGTTTTCGGAAAACCTATCACATATTATGCTATTAGTTTTCATAAACTTTGGGGGTTAGTATGTTGTGGAATAACTATGTTTGTACTACTTATATATCAACTTGGTCCACTCATGTTTTGTTTTGTGCCCCCTCAGGACTTAGAATCGAGACGTACAATCCCGGTGTCAAAGCATTCCCACATCGGCATCTTCGAGTCCTCTTGGTGTAGGCCCATTTCTTTGTTCATTCAATTTTATATTATTTCTTTTTAGTGCTCTAAATTAGTTGTATACTTTGAACACATTCCTCATTTGCATGTTAATTATATTTAAATTTATAAGTATTTATTTATATTCTTTGGTTCTCATGCATCTTAGTATGGTTTCGTCACCTTCGGGTATCGGCCAGCATGTGCCTACCTTGGTGATCGAATGATATTAGGGTTGGACGTGTCAATGATAGTACCAGTTTTCAATTTAAGAAATAGTGACAGTACTCGTATCCAATTCAAGAAATAGGTAGTGTTCAATGTTTATAATTGATAATTTTGTTTACTTGGGGAAATATTGTAGCTATTTGATCTTTCTTTCTTTTACTCGAAGACGTAAAGTATCAAATTGTTAGTACAATATCGATGCATTTTTCAAGTTGTTGCTAGGACAGAACAAAACCATGAACAACACTGCGGGGAAGGCCAGATAATGAGGAAAAGGTGGTGGTATTGGAAACATCCGAGTCGCTAAAAACACCGAAGCTCTGCGGGCAAATCTATAAGACCATTGTTTTATCCATCAAGAGTCAAGACCCCACAAGCAAATCTACCAAAACTCACCAAGTGAAAATGAAACTAGGATAATTTCTAATGGAAGTGGCTCCTGCATTCTAGGAAAGTGGGTTCTAAGTGACAAGCAAAATTAAAGGTGGTGTTTGATCAACAAAAGAATATGAACCACCTAATTACAAATAAATAATAATAAATAAATAAATAAATATATATATATATATATAGTAAAAGAGAAGGTGGCCACTTTCCTTCACACACGTTGGGTTTTAATTCCCTTTCAGGTGGAAGGGGGACGACAAGAAGAAAACAAAAAAATAAATAAGCAAAACCATGAGAGAACGAACGGCCAAAAAAAAAAAACGAAGAGAGAAGGAACTTGCTGATAGAATGGCATACTTGAAAATAAAGAGAAATTTATTTCTAACAGAATTGGCTGACATAATGGGATTGTTGTTAGGGGCAAGGTTGGAAAAAAAATTATTTCGTTTTGACCTTTTAATTCAGCCCATGTGTGTTAAATGTGTGTAGGTGTGATATAGATTAGTTTTGTCATTATAATTAAATATAAAACCCTTTTGATTAAATAATAGTATAAGGTAGTTTTTTGTTAAATTAAACTTAACCCAAACCCTTTTCATTAAAGCTCCCAATTCAAAGCGCATTATAAATAGTTGAAACTGCCTCATACATGTCAAGTTTCACTAAATCAACATGTGGAGATTAATATCTCTCTTAACTCATTCCTAGAACAATTTGAACACATATCAGGCAGTTTCTCCAGTCAAATAGTTTAAGGAAGAAACCAACTTGAACCCTAAAACTAGGTTTAATGAAGATTTGAAACTTAAAAGTTAGACCATGTAAACAATGCAAACCTATTTCTCAATGGGGAATTTTTATGCATGAAAAATAGTTTGGCAGCTAGGGTTCCATAACTGAGAAGAGGCAAGCTCAAAAGCTTTTTGAAATCACTCCTCTTTGAAATTTAATATGGACAACCAAGTGAAAAATGAAGCCAAGCTAGGGCTTTAAGCAAAAGGATTGCTTGTTTTCAGCTAGCAAGCACAAGACTTGTCATAGGCAAGCTCAAAAGCTTTTGAAGGCACTCTATCTCTTTGAAATTTAATATGGACAACCAAGTGAAAAATGAAGCCAAGCTAGGACTTTAAGCAAAAAGATTGCTTGTTTTGAGCTAGCAAGTACAAGAAGCACTTGTCAACCCAGAAAACGATTTGAGTAGATCAAGTGCTAAAAGAATCCCTCAGCCAAAAAATGTCAATCAGCCCATGCGGGGAGCGTTAATTTTCGTGGCCAGCTAGCTAGAAAGCAACAACCAATTCTGACCAGACATCACTAATCAAAAGCGGTAGAAAATTTTAAATGTAAAAAGCATGTGCATGAACAAACCTTTGAAGTGGCCCAAACCCTTGAGTAAATATTTCCAACAATATTAGCCCTTTGTGCAATGTCCTCAAACTAATTTGTGCATGCATGGTATGTATTACATTATTGACAAGGAAAGCCAAAAACATAAGTCTAGACTTTACGTAAACAACATTTAGCATTTGGTAATTTTATGTTGGAGATTGTCTTAAAACAGAATAAAGTCTCTTTTCTTAAACTAGTTAAGGTTACAGGACTGAATCATATAACAACCAGATCCGTTGCCCGGAGAGATCTGTTTATAATCTGCTTTACACGGCACCTTCCAGCACTGAAGAGAAAATGGTAATGCCTTCGTAGACGCCTGTACAAACTGTGTAAAGCAAACACTAAAGCCATCGCTCCAAAACGGTATGATATAGTCCGGTTGTAAGATCAAAATCGAGCTTTTCTTTTCCGAGCTGTGTATTTGGTGTCTGGTGGAACAACATTTCCCTTTTTTCTCATCTGTTCCTTCTTCTTTAGTATCCATTCTCTTCCCTTGCCTTTCTTATTTGTCTTCTGCTTTTTCCTCGGCCTGTGCCTGTCTGAGTTTGAAACCTGCTCCCCACGAATAAAATATAACAAATTAGAAATTCATGTCAGAGCACACAGATAGATTTAAGTTTAGCAGCCTTGACTTTACATTAGACTTCGAGAAAAACAAGAGATATAGTAATAGTAAATGCATCCGTAAAAACTTACTGTCTGATTTTCTTCATCTTCACTACTCTCATCATCAGTGGAACCCTCGCCATCTTCGCCTTTTCCCTTGGGAGTAGAAGTGGTAATAGATGGTGAATTGCAAGTGAGGACAAGGTACTCCTTTCGTTTCTTGGAACTGTAACAAGATATTCCTTAAGTTAGAGGAAAATGCTACTGAAAGAATTTAGATATTAAAAATTCCATGTGAAGTCAGAATCCAACATTTTGCCCTATATTTTGTACTAGTTCCCTGACCCTCTCTCAATAGTTTCCGTGAAGCATAAATATTCAAACTCCATGCACGTGCATTTTTGTTAGCAATGTTCAGACCCTTTATGTATTATAAAGGCCGATCAGATGCATTTTGCAAAAGATGATGCAGAAGCCCTACAAAGGTTCATATACCAGAAGCCATTTGTTTAGTGGATATGTGGGATCATGCATGAGCAGCTTAGAAAGTAATCTAGTAACCACATTGTTTCAGACGAGCTAACAGCCTATGACACAAGAAAACATAATTGGTTTCTTGCATACCTGTTGGGAAAATCAACAACGACACCCCCCGCAAATCCAGCACGCATTGCAGAACTCAAAATCAACTCGCGCTGGTCCAGATTTTCAGGATAAACTTGAAATGCTGCCCTTGCTCCCCTTGCTAAGCATCTGTATAATGATCCAAAGAAAGCCCTACAAAGGAATTAAGACAGCAACATTCATACTGAAATTGAAAAAAGGATTGCAGGCTCAACCGATGCTTAATGTCATAAAAAGTCCAAGAATAAGAAGATCATGGCACACTTTTCATTGCATTTCAAGCATATAATGATATAGAATTTATGACGAGGATATAAAAACCAACAAGAAACACAACATACTTCAATCGTAATCGTGGATTATGTGATGACTTATCAGCATTGCACAACCACTGCATTGAACAAAATGATAAAGAGAAATTGGCGTAATATTCATATAGTAAACCGTATCAAAACATAAAAAAAGCATACATGAAGTAGTCTCAGTAGTTTAGAAAATTGAAGAAACAAAAAGACAGGTACAACATTGCAAAAACTTCAGCAAAAATATTCAAAACAGAAAGGAAATAATTGAATTTTGAGCGCTTAACTATTGGGTATATAAATATAAAATAAAAAACTGACAAAACAAGGGACACAAGCTAAGATAGGAAAAAAAATCCAGCTAAACAGGGCCTTTAAGGGAAGGGATTGGGACCCACTCTACATCGAACTTAAACGATCCGAACCGTCTATTTTGTAAGTCTCGATTCATAAATCATCCTTGCAAAAATTCAATTCAATTCGAAACCATTTGCCTATTTAATTATCACAATGAAATTTCAGTGTTTCTTATAAAACAAAGTGTTTGTCAATTTATGTCTCAAATATTTTCGATTTGGCTAATATTTTGCAAGGATGATCTAAGAGCTTTTAAGTAGACGGTTCGGATTGTTGAAGTTCGATGTGGTGAGGGTGTATCCATTATCCATCATTGCAAGTACTAGTGAGTGAAAACACAATGTAAACCTGAACGGCTGAGATGCTTATCGCTCCATCAATAACTCCTGAACGAAGTCCAAAGCCCTGAAACAAAATCGAACAATTACGATATGCTGATAGAAAAACAATTTCAGGTTGAACCATATCATATTTGTATGCAGTTTTTCCCTCTTTTTTCCGTCCACGAAAAACTGAAGCACGAGCCATTAAGTGTGATACCTGACCCATGTCCCCGAGCAAAAGATCACCCTCAACCTCATTCTCCAATGCCACATCTCCAATCATCAAAGAAATGTAATTCCCATTTAGAAACAAACCATGGAATCCATCAAAGAAGCTCAAAACCAAAACAAAACATCGAAAACGAATAAGCAAAACCCGAAAAAACCACATACCAAGCATCGACTGGGAAATATCTAAACCAATCCACTGATGCCCACTCTCTGACAATGTATCTCCGCTGAGCCCCGACCCACAACCTGCAGTAAAAAGCTCAATCACTCACTCCGATTTTTCACCGTTCAGTGAATAAAATCAAACCCCTTTGGGACTTTTTTACGAAAACAGAATTGAAAGATTGCGGGAGTTGGGTTTCGAAGGACTACCAATATCGAGGAGCAGCCTGGGGACGCCGTCGTCGGGGAGAGCGAGAAGCTCTAGGGCTCGGTGGGAGAGCTCCGACTGAATTTCCATGATTCGGGAATTGCGAGTGTACTTTCGAGCTTCCTCTTCATTGTAGAATATCTCGGGTGGAGCTTGCAGCTCCGGCCGAGACATGTTCGCTTTTCTTTTCTGTTCCTTGAAAGGGGAGGGAGAGATAGGGGAGGTGGGGGAGGGAGAGCGAGAGAGAGAGAGAGAGAGGGAGAGAGAGAGAGAGCTTAAACCCTAGCAGCGTCTTCCTTCGCGATTTTTGGTAGTTTTGGGCTCTAATAGGAGTGTAGTCTAGTTTGTGGCCCAGCCCCAAAATGCGAGGAAGAATTTTGTTTGGTGTTCGGGATACAAGTCCCCGAATCTGTATCCCTAACACCAGGATCACTGGTTGAGGTCCAAGGTTTCAAGTCTTAGGCGCTGGAGTTTCAGACCTTGGTATTGAGTGACGACGTCACCCAGATCAGTCTCTAGTGGCCACAACCCTGAAGTTGAGCTTTAGGCATTAGGGTCTCGGTCATCGGGTTTTCAGAGTTTGGTTCAAGTTTCACAAGTAGTGTATTGAGTGATCTAAAAACAAGAGGTGCAAAGTCACGTGGTTCAAGTTTTACTTGTCATTGAGATTTTAGGTTCAATACTAAATTATTATTGCTAGTCCATTGTGCAGTTTAGCTTAAATCACAATTGTTGTATAGAAAGAAAAATTAACTCCCCTCTTTTAAAGGACTAAGTTTCTCCAAAAGATGCACATGATGAGACAACTTCACACCTCAGCTTTTAAACATTGCAATATCATACATCAACTTACGATTCATTGCAATGGTAGACCTTTATTAAATTTTCTATCAATTTGGCCGTTAAATGATGATGTAGCAGGTGTGGGGCCCACTCCCTCACCCAAACTTTTAAAAAATAAAAAATGATAAATTACATTTTACCACCTTAACTTTGAGTCATAGAACAAAATCATACCTCATCTTTTGAACATTACAATGTCATACATTAACTTATGAATTTGTTGCAATGTCATACCTCGTTTCCTTGTTTGTTAATTTGTATGTTAGCTATTGACGTGGTAAACACGGGGCCCACTCCCTCGCTCATAGGAACTCTATGCTATTGACATCTCAACGGTGGAGTGTGGCCAATCCTATTTGCTTAATATATCCAAAATATCCTCCGTGTCCACCCACCGTCCTTGTCTTTTTCTAGTTTTCCGCCACGTGGTTCTCTCCCTTGCTTCCGTCTCCAACTGTTTCCCTTTCCCCTTGTTCTCCCCCTCGGAAAATCTGAACCCAAAAAACCCTAAAGATTTTCAAAGCTAACAAAAAAAAAAAAAGCTTCAAGCTTCAAGCTTTTCTAATTTTTGAGTTCTGCAAAAATGGTGAAAACCTTCAAAGCAGACTGTTAGAGGAGGAGGTTAAGCCAAATTTGGGGCTGTCAATCGATGACAGTTTTTGAAACTTAGAGAAATTGAAGTTGGCCAACGGATTCAACGTAGATCTAAGAGAGTACGAGCACCAAATGGTGTCATCCTAATCGAACGCGCCGTCTCCGTCGCCAATCGAGTCATTAGAGCTGAAGAGCGCACTTCTAAATTAGCAGATAAAGTGGGAGATGTAGGCGTTGAAAAAGTAGGAAGCGAAAAGAAAGCTGAAACAGAAGAAAAGTCGGGGACGAAATGATTCCCAAGTGGATAAGCAATCTATGGTGAAGAAAGAGAGAACGGATACAAACGTGAACGTGAATCTAAATTTGAGTAAAGACCAAACGAAGCTACGCTACTCGGTTCAACAATCGCGTCAATATCCGTACTCGCTGGTTCAGCAAATGGTATATATTTAGCGAATGGGATTAGCCATACTTCTCCGTGGACAAGTCAGCAATATGGAGTTTCAGTGGGCGAGGGTAGTTAATAGACAAATAGATAGACAAGGAAATTAAATCTAACATTGCAACAAATTGTAAGTTGATGTATGACATTCCAATGTTCAAAAGATGAGATATGAGTTTGTTATACCCAAAGTTCATGTGGTAAAATGTAATTTGTCCTTTAAAAAAATTGGACAAGGGAGTGGGCCTCGTGCTTGCCATGTCATCATTTAACAGTCAAATTGATAGAAAACTTAACGGAAGTCTGACATTGCAATGAACCGTAAGTTGATGCAAGACATTGTAATGTTTAAAAGATGAGGTATGAGTTTGTTATAAGAGTCAGAATGAGCCTTATACTTGTAGGGGTGGTCACAAAACATGGTACTTTGAACCAACCCGACTGACCGACCTACCAACAAAACATCAACCCTCTTTTACTGATGGTCGAATTGCACATGAAGTCGCATGACAACTTTGGTGCTATTTGGACCCAAAGTTACACCTTCAGCCCGCGTAATCGAGGTCGTTGAGTGAGCATAGCTTCACACCATCGGATGAGAAATAGAGGTAATTCATTTTGTTATTATTAAAGGATAATGTTATGATGTTTTATCATAATTATCTTTTAATAATAGTTTATTATGAAGGATGAGATGTATTTCCAACTAGAAACATGTCAGCACAGTTCAAGTTGATATCCGGATATGGGCGTGTAGAACAGTTCAAAACGGATTTTAAAATTTATTTAGGCAAGATTAGGATACATGATGATGGCCTTGGGTGATGGATAAGACAATGAGTCTAAGAAGGCTAAGCTTTTGGTGGAGATGTGATAAGCCTAGGTGGTAATGATGATACAAGAAACCTAGGTAGACTAGGTTTTTGCATGGTGATGAAGTTTTCTACTGGAGGTTTTTTAATTAGATCAGAAGCCTAGATGGGCTAGGTTTCTGATGTGGTATGACAAAGCCTAGATAAGCTTTATTTTAGAAGTTGCGAAATCTGAAGGCCACAGATCAGATTTATTTCAGCTAGTTAGAGTTGCAGTCAGACTCTACACAATTATCTAGTCGTGCCAAGCAAGCATACAGTCACTATACATACAGATGCAATGACAACGGAAAAAGCCCCTCTAATTCAATACACAACTGCCTTGTGCAAATTCTCTTAATAACCTTGAGATTTTTTTCTTTTCTTTTTTGTTGACACATCTTCAGTTGGTATAAACAGCACTGTGAAGGCAACCGGTGATATCTTCAGTTGGCATAAACAACATTGTTGCTGTAGAACCAACCGATCTTGCAGCATCTTCAGTCGGCATAGACAGAACTGCATCGAGGGTGATTGGCTATCTATCCAAGTCTCGGTCGAGAAGGATTTCCGAATCCTTGTTGGTCGAGGTCATCTCATTAGCCTTCTCGACGAGGTGAGGTGTTACAGTGTATTGGACTCGGCACATAGCACGCCGAGTTATTTTATGATCGGATACTTTCAAGTGGGATTTAGAGTTCGGCATTTCGACGGCCGAACCACGTTTACTGTTAAGACTTATATTTGCTTTGAGTATTTGTGCCCTTACACTTTGATGTCAATTCGGCGTGAGTTTACTCTGACGAATACCATCACAGTGACCGAATCCGACGACGACGATTTGTGAACTTCGTAAGAATAGTAGCCTTGTCTTCAGGTTTGAGAACCCAAGAGGTCGAGACACATTCATTTTTCGGCCGTAATCGTAAAACGCAGAAGTCAGCCTCGCACCCAACGCAACATCAACATATTTTACTCCTCGGTCGAGCTCGGCCGATGAGTTGGCACGCCCCGCATTCAACCAAAGGACGTAGTTAGCTTATAGATTACTCGGCCTGCGCGCCACGTAGGCTTGGTAGTTTTTAGGGTCAACAGGTGCTTACCAAGCCTACACGGCCAAGCTACAACTCCAACGAACAAGGTGCCACAGTAAACTAATCTCATGTTATTCTCCTTAATTTCAACTGGGTGCTTTCAGTTCTCGGAGATGCACAGGTCGTGGATTCCAAAGCCTAACAAGCCAGGCCCTATAACACCATGCAAGAAGGACCTCATTGTCATGGAAGCCCTTTCCTTACTCCTCAATATAGTCTATGAGGACGTCATTCTGACCCACTCTCATGGCTTTAGGAATTACGAGTCGGACCAATTTGCGAATCGAGCGTCGGAGAAATTACATGGTTAAGGTATTGGGTCGAATGTCCTTTTTGTTTTGTGTTTTTGTTTTTGAGGCCTCTCGTCAGATGGATTGTTTCTTGTATTTGGTTTAGGGCTAGAACAGGCATAATCGCTGGAACGTCTAGAAGTGGGCCGACTATCTTCCATAAAATATATATATTCGTCATTTAATGAGATAGTAAAGTTCTAGACTCAAGCTAGCAAAAAACAAGACTGAGGTCGGGCATTACTGGTAATTGCTAAGGTGCTTTCTGAAGTATTAACCATTGGCTAGCGCTCATCTCCAGCTCTGTTTCCAGCCTTTCATTTCATATACCATTCCCGTATGCCATACCTCTTATTTAACGTCCAAGCCTTCTCCCATCGGTAGTTGGAAGCAGAACTGAGACTGGATGTAACTGAAGGAAAGGGGATATAGGTACGATAGGAGGGCACGGTTAAGAAGCAGGTAAGCAAAGGCTCCCTCTCTCCCGCTATGCGGTCTTGTGTAAAGCCCTTCCGCCCATTATTGATCTTCATTCTAAGTGAGCAGGTTGAAAGCTGTTGAGGTGATAGCAAAAGTAAGCAGGGAAGCAGAAGCAAGAGGTCTTCAAAGAACTTTTGTGTAATAAAGCTTCTAGGTCGCAGTCGCATTTCATTGGTCTCTAAGGCAAAGTCTCGCTTAATCGTTCATCGATCTTTTCTTCTTTCTTCAACCGGTCATATCTGATCCGTAGCTGGTAGCGACATGAGGAAAGGGTCCGGAATAGTCTGGGCATTTTCCCTTTGTTGCCATCATGATCATGATAAATTTTCTGCAAGCCAAAGAAAAACAAGCGTACAGTTCAAATAATCGAAAATACTTGTGAGATTGTGTTTGCAAAGTGAGGCACGCCAAATATGTTTCCCTGTCATTTCCTCTTTCAACTATCCATTTCTTGCCATATGATCAACTATAGAGGACATACAAGCCCCTAATAATATTACACTTTACAGAAGAATGCTTCAAAAAGCTAATACTTTAGAAACCACCTTTTCACTTTGCTATGGAAGAAGGGCACCAAATGAATTTTCCATTTCAGAATCAATTAGAACGTGACAAGTGGATGGTCGAAGGGTTTTTTCTCCGATTGAGATTTTGAAGTGTTTTTCTTTTTATAAAACTGATAATTGTTTGGATGTTTTCTCTAATTTACAGAAAAAAAAAATTAAATAACAGAAAAGAGATTTCAAATGTAGTTGAAGCTACTTCAGCTACATTTTGGTCATTTCCTCCTCTCGAAGTTAATAAAGTGTTCAACATGCGTATTCCATATTCAAATCCATGCAGCAGTAATCATTATACGGTACACCAACAATGATATAGAGTTTAAGAATACACACCTTCACCAAATAGC